CAATTGAATTTTGTACGGGAACAAATGCAAATCAATGCGAATAATCCGTTGTAAAGTGGACCGAGCCATGCCCAACTGCTGAGAACGGCGTTTTTGGGATGTTCTTGGGGACCTCTCAACACTGGTTCGTACGGCAGCGATATTCTCAGCCGATCGTCTTGGTCGACTTTTATATGGCCTCTTCGGATTAGAAAGAGCCTTACTAGTCGAAAATTTTACGTATAAACGCTAAATAGTGTTTTTAGAAGGCGCACTTCTCACATTTTTTTTATACCCTCCACCATACTATGGAGGGTATATTAACTTTGTCATTCCGTTTGTAACTCCTCGAAATACTCATGTCAGACCCAACAAAGTATACATATTCTCGATCAGCATAAAATTCTAAGTCGAATTATCGAAGTCCGTCTGTCTGTCTGTTGTAATCACGCTATCTTTCGAATGAATTGAGATTTGAGACACATGTTTATTTTTCCAGTAGGCAGGCTAAGTTCGTAAATGGGACATGTAGGTCCACGTTTTCATACAGCCCCCATATAACGGTACCTCCCGATATTCGGTATTTTGATGATTTTAACGACATTATTCACGGGAATTGTTTCAAATTTGGTAGTTGAAGTTCAAAATGGATACTACACCCTAAGACAGCAAATTGTCTGTGCGGGTCCAGGTCTTCGTATAGGCCCCATATATCAGTACCTCCCTATTTTCAGTATTTTGACGATTTTAGGTACAATGCCCACCGAAATTGTTTGAGATGTGGTATTTGAAGTTCGTAATGGATGCTACAGCCTGTGACAGAAACTTGTCTATGCTGGTCCAGGTCTTCGCACAGCTAAAATTTAAAGACACTTCCTTATATACGATATTTTGATGATTTTAGCTACATTATTCACCGTTTATTTCAAGTTTCGAATTTGAATATGGTAATGGCTTATGACAATCAATGCCTATGTATGTCTACGTCGTATAGAACCCAATATAACGGCTATATACGGTATTTTTAAATTTTTTACAGAATTTTTTAAGGATTTTATTTTTTGAAAATTTCCAAATTCGTTGCAAATGGTGGAGGGTATTAAAAGTTCGGCCCGGCCGAACTTGCTGCTTTTTAACTTGTTCACAATTGACTTCTTCTTTTGAAGGTAAATTTCAACTATTTCAGAGCGCTCGCGTGGCGTGTATTGGTTCATGGTAAAAATCTGCTTGGACTGACGCTTCAGACGCGGTATGTGATTAAGCGATGTGACATCTTTGTCAAAAGTTATGGCGTTGCCAGATGGGTCTTTTTGGAATTCAAAATGTAAACTTATTCTAATATTTGATGCTATTTTCGACATTTTTTGCTTTCATTCAATAAAATTTAAAAAAAAATGTAAAAATTATGGCGTTTCACTTTGTTGCAGTTTTTTCTATCTCACCCTGTATAGATACGTAACAATATAAACAACTATTAAACCACAAAATGCCTGTTGTCTATTAGGAGAAGGTCAAAAGAATGTGCCCAACAAGCACACCTTCCGGTCTTTCAATAGATAAATTATTAAAAAATGTATATATTTGCTTTAAAAATAAGATTACCAGGTCTACCGCACTATTTTATAAATTGCAGGCATCCAGAAGCATGAACCTTTCTAAATAGTAATTTCCTGTATGGAAAAAGTAATCAAAGTGATAACTTTTCGTTTCCTTTCAATACAGTAATGAATTTTCCCACGGGAAAAATTTATTCTTTTCCCATAAAGATAAGCATATCGGATAGGATCTATTACTGTGATGAAATTCCCAATACAGCAATGTTATTCACAGTGATGACACTCCCTACATGCAAAAGTTCATCACAGTGATGACTTTTTCCACCCTGAAAACTTTTGCAGTCTACGAACTTTTGAAGACCCTCTTTTTTGCCTACAAAAATTTATATTTATACCCTCCACCTTGGAAAGGAGGGTATATTAACTTTGTCATTCCGTTTGAAACATCCTTAAATATTTGTCGTAGACCCCATAAAGTACATATATTCATAATCAGCATAAAATTCTAAGTCGATTTAACGATGTCCGTCTGTCTGTCTGTCCATCTGTCTGTCTGTTGAAATCACGATACAGCCCACATTATTTGACGTAGAGCGCCAAAATTTAGCAGAGCAATTGGTATTGTGTCTAGGATGGTTGGTATTGAAAATGAGATATATCGGTCTACGTTCTGGTATAGTCCCCATATAACGGTACCTCCCGATATTCGGTATTTTGATGATTTATGCCACATTTTTTCACGGATTTGTCTGAAAATTGGAATTTGTAGGTCATAACGGGTCCCTGTACGTGTGGCAAAACATTGCATGTATAAGTGCACGTTTTGGGAAAGGCCCCATATAATGGTACCTCCCGATATTCGGTATTTTGGTGGTTTTTTGTCACATTTTTTCACGGATTTATCCGAAAATTGGTATTTGTTGGTCATAATGGGTTTCAGCTCCGGTGGCGAAACATTGCATGTATGGGTCCATGATTTGGTATAGCCCCCATATAACGGTACCTCCCGATATTCGGTATTTTGATGATTTTTGCCACATTTTTTTACGGATTTTTCTAAAAATTGGTATTTGTGAGTCATAATGGGTTCTAGTTCGTGTGGCGAAACATTGTATGTATAGGTCCACGTTTTGGTATAGTCCCCATATAACGGTACCTCCCAATATTCGGTATTTTGATGATTTTTTTCACATTTTTTTAAGAATTTCCCTGAAAATTTGGTAGTTGTAGATCATAATGGGTCCCAGTTCGTGTGGCGAAACATTGTATGTATAGGTCAACGTTTTGGTATAGTCCTCATATAACGGTACCTCCCTATATTCGGTATTTTGATTATTTTTGACATATTTCTTCACGAATTTCACTGAAAATTTGGTAGTTGTGGGTTCTAGCTCCGTTGGCGGAACCTTGCATGTGTAGGTCCACGATTTAGTATAGCCCCCACATAACGGTACCTCCCGATATTCGGCATTTTAATGGTTTTTGCCACATTTCTTCTAATGTTTCCTTTACCCTAAGGTGGAGGGTATTAAAAGTTTGGCCCGGCCGAACTTAATGTTTTTTTACATGTTTTTTTTTTTTTAATAGTAATTTCGTTCAATTTGTTCTTATTTGTCCGACAAAGTCAGTGACCTTTTAGTTTTCCCAAAAATACATTTTTAATAGTTCCCGTGAAGAGGCCAAATTTTGTTTATTTGCTTACGCAGTTCTTGGCATTGCCGCCCCTATCGATAAACGAATCTGGGGTGTTGGTTTCAATGTAAATAAAATACAAATGAAATAAATGTAACTGCCGGTTGCCGGTGTTGCCTTGTGGTTGTGGTCGAAGATGGAGCACCCCCTCTCCGGAGGCAACTTTCTTGTGCGTGAATTTCTTCCGAAAAACAACAAAATTTAAATTGGCTTTTTCTTCAATTTCATGTGGTTGGGTATATTTACAACATGGCCAAGAACAATGGAATTGTGGTGGCTGGTGTTTATTTATAGGTGTGTGTGTGTATGTGTGTGTTTGTATGTAAATATAACTTTATTACTCTGCGTATGAATGCCGGGATGTTCAACCACTCAATTGGATACAAGATTGTAATGAATGTTCTTCTTGGCCAACGAAGTGTTGGTAATACAAAAACATCGTTTCCATGATCTAAGACGTGTTTACGTGCTCTGTTGGCCAATTTTAATTCTGCTCACTTGCCTATTTGTGTTTGTGTGTGTGTTTTTTTTTTTGTTTTTCTTCTATTGGCCTGGTTTATTACGAAGTGTGTAACCGGTAAACAAGATAAATCAGATTCTACTTAGACTTCTCACTCTGATTCTGATGGCTGTGTCGTAAAGCGAAATTACTGAACCTTGACACCGGCTAATGATATCAGGCCAACTGAAAGAGAAAATCTATTGCAGCTCGCATTAGAACGGTGGTCAGCAATTCGACGATGATGAAGAAGAAAAAGAAGTTTTTTTACACAAAGTATGGAAAGGTCAATGTTATGATTAAATTGTAATGTAAGTGCAAAAAAAACATTAGTTTTAACCAGGAAAAATATAAAAAATAATTATTTTTAAATTTTAGTTTTGAGTTAAATTTTCACATGAAATTAAAATGAAATAGGAAATAACAAAAATAATTGTTTTTTAATTGGCCGAAAAAAGTTCTGGGTTCGTCTAAAGGCAAATTAAGTGTCTGAAACTTGTTTTGGTCAAACTTAAGAATAGGAACTTAGATATCCCTCATTAAGTTAGATTATAGTGCAAAAATGGTTTTTCTCCATAAGGTCATATTGAAACAGAACACCAACTGATGTTCTGTTTAAAAAAGGTCTTTGGAAGGTATAAACTCTTTTCATAGCGGAAAAGTTGCCATCACTGCGATGACCTCTTTCCCGTAATCACTCTGATGAGCTTTTCCCGTATAGGGAATCAGCACCTGGATGACCTTTTCCGTATAGGAAAACGTCATCAGCACCCTGATGACCTTTTCCGTATTGGAAAACGTCATCAGCACCCTGATGACCTTTTCCCGTATAGGAAAACCTCATCAGCACCCTGATGACCTTTTCCCGTATAGGAAAACATCATCAGCAACCTGATGACCTTTTCCGTATAGGAACAGGTCATCAGCAACCTGATGACCTTTTCCGTATAGGAACAGGTCATCAGCAACCTGATGACCTTTTCCGTATAGGAACAGGTCATCAGCAACCTGATGACCTTTTCCGTATAGGAACAGGTCATCAGCAACCTGATGACCTTTTCCGTATAGGAACAGGTCATCAGCAACCTGATGACCTTTTCCGTATAGCAACAGGTCATCAGCAACCTGATGACCTTTTCCGTATAGGAAAACGTCATCAGCACCCTGATGACCTTTTCCGTATAGGAAAACGTCATCAGCACCCTGATGACCTTTTCCGTATAGGAAAACTTCATCAGTGCCCTGATGACCTTTTCCCGTATAGGAAAACATCATCAGCACCCTGATGACCTTTTCCCGTATAGGAAAACATCATCAGCAACCTGATGACCTTTTCCGTATAGGAACAGGTCATCAGCGTATAGGAACAGGTCATCAGCAACCTGATGACCTTTTCCGTATAGGAACAGGTCATCAGCAACCTGATGACCTTTTCCGTATAGGAACAGGTCATCAGCAACCTGATGACCTTTTCCGTATAGCAACAGGTCATCAGCAACCTGATGACCTTTTCCGTATAGGAAAACGTCATCAGCACCCTGATGACCTTTTCCGTATAGGAAAACTTCATCAGTGCCCTGATGACCTTTTCCGTATAGGAACAGGTCATCAGCACCCTGATAACCTTTTCCGTATAGGAACAGGTCATCAGCACCCTGATAACCTTTTCCGTATAGGAACAGGTCATCAGCACCCTGGTAACCTTTTCCGTATAGGAACAGGTCATCAGCACCCTGGTAACCTTTTCCGTATAGGAACAGGTCATCAGCACCCTGATAACCTTTTCCGTATAGGAACAGGTCATCAGCACCCTGATGATCTTTTCCCGTATAGGAACAGGTCATCAGCACCCTGATGATCTTTTCCCGTATAGGAACAGGTCATCAGCACCCTGATGATCTTTTCCCGTATAGGAACAGGTCATCAGCACCCTGATGATCTTTTCCCGTATAGGAGCAGGTCATCAGCACCCTGATGATCTTTTCCATACAGGAAAACATAGACCGGATGATCTATTCCCGTACAGGAAAAGTTGTCATCACTCCGATGAGGTTTTTCGAGCTTTTCTTCAAATTTTCCATTTTTGAATCCAAATAATGCAAAAATTTCCTTTAAATTTTCCACCAATTTTCTCTATCCCAAATATATTCTCTATTTTTTGTCTCTATCTATGTGATGAGCCTTTCGTCTTATTCGTTGTCCTCCATGGTCTATGGCCATAATTCATGGAAATCGTGTTTGTTATTTTTTTCCTTCAAATCTTTCCTCCCGCTCTCTTTACCACTGTCTGCATTTTAAGTTTGGTTAGATTGTCGGACACGATAAAAATGGAAAATGATCTTTAATATGCGTATTATGCTTGATTTGGTCGTTGTTGTTGTTGGCATGATAACTCGAATCCTCACAGCTCTCCAAAATAATATTAGAAAAATGTAATCCACTTATAAGAGCATTGTAACTCTCGTCGTCATCGTTGTTGGTGTTGTTGTTAGAATAGCACCAAAAGCAATGGAAGCTGGCACCAAAAAAAATACTGAAACTAGAAAAGACGCTAACACAAAACCATGACCAAGACCCAGAGTTAAGTTGAGCTGGCTGGCCGGCTGGCTGGCCGGCTGGCTGGCTGGCTAACTGGCAAACACACCAGACAATGCCACGACCACCAGCTCTTCCAAAATGGGTTGTAATTGTGTCTTTTGGTTCAGTTGATTATGGGCGTGTGTGTGTGTGTGTTTTGTAAGTATGTCTAAGTGGATGCATCCGCATACATTTGGTGAAATGAAAGAACATAAAATAGTGGAGTTCATTGAATTCATGAAAAGACATCAGCAAACCGGCAGGCAGACAGGCAGGCGAGCAGCACTCAGCCGGCCTGCCAGCTTGCCAGTCATACCCCTGGCCAAATAAGAAGACCTGGCCTGAGATATCGTAAATTATGTCCAAACAGGTTCTTTTTCCTGGTTCTGCTGGGTGACGTTTTTGTTGTTTTTCAATTTCTTTTTCTTTTTTCGAGATTTGTTGCACATTTCTTCATGGCTGCTGAAGAATGACAATTTTGTTTCAATTTGTTGCATGGTGTGCTGAAGAATTTTCCTGGACTTCGGTAGACCATATTTAGAAAGTAAACTAACAAAAACGGTCGGACAACCATAAAAAAATTCCATATCGAATGTAATGAAATGACAGAAAGCCGATGAGTGACACCTTGAAAGAATCTTAACCTCATTACAAGGTAATGATGTTAAATTTCTTTCTGGTTCTGGCCAAAATCATGGAACAATGAAATACGGCCCATAACATTCGAAATGGTGGCTGTTTTTTTCAATTGAAAAAAATCTACACTTTTTTTTATAAAATTATACAAAATTCATTCCCAAAGTCTATGGGCGTTGTAACGCTATCTCACCTCTTTAACCCATCATCGGCACTCAAATAAGAAGCTTTGAAAGTCGTTGAGAAGTCATGGCGAAATTCTCTACATCCACCCTTTATTAGCACCGTCATTTTCAATATCATTACGACACTTCTTCATTGAAGCGAATTCCAACTTTTCATCAACTCATCGAACATCATCCATCATTTTATTTGAATGGATGATTAGTTGCGAAGTGTGTCGAAACAATGGTAGTATGAAAACCAAAAAGCGGATAATGGGTTCTAGGCTAGAGATGTTGAATGGGTTCTAGGCTAGAGATGTTGAGAATTTGAACGTTATTTGATATAACGTTCATCAGGGTGCTGATGACGTTTTCCTATACGGAATAGGTCATCGGGGTGCTGGTGACGTTTACCCATACGGAAAAGGTCATCAGGGTACCGATGACCTGTTCCTATACGGAAAAGGTCATCAGGGTGCTGATGACCTGTTCTTATACGGAAAAGGTCATCAGGGTGCTGATGACCTGTTCTTATACGGAAAATGTCATCAGGGTGCTGATGACCTGTTCCTTGTTCAGGGTGCTGATGACCTGTTCAGGGTGCTGATGACGTTTTCCTATACGGAAAAGGTCATCAGGGCGCTGATGACAACTTTTCCTATACGGAAAAGGTCATCAGGGCGCTGATGACAACTTTTTCTATACGGAAAAGGTCATCAGGGCGCTGATGACAACTTTTCCTATACGGAAAAGGTCATCAGGGCGCTGATGACAACTTTTCCTATACGGAAAAGGTCATCAGGGCGCTGATGACAACTTTTCCTATACGGAAAAGGTCATCAGGGCGCTGAGGACAACTTTTCCTATACGGAAAAGGTCATCAGGGCGCTGAGGACAACTTTTCCTATACGGAAAAGGTCATCAGGGCGCTGAGGACAACTTTTCCTATACGGAAAAGGTCATCAGGGCGCTGAGGACAACTTTTCCTACACGGAAAAGGTCATCAGGGCGCTGAGGACAACATTTCCTGTACGGAAAAGGTCATCAGGGCGCTGAGGACAACATTTCCTATACGGAAAAGGTCATCAGGGCGCTGAGGACAACATTTCCTATACGGAAAAGGTCATCAGGGCGCTGATGACAACTTTTCCTATACGGAAAAGGTCATCAGTTGATGACAACTTTTCCTATACGGGATAAGTTCATCAGTTGATGATAACTTTTTCTATACCATAGGAAAAGGCTGCTGATAACGTTTTCCTATACGGGAAAAGATCATCAGGGTGCTGATGCCGTTTTCCTATACGGAAAAGATAATCGGTAAAAAAAGTTCCTATAGAAAAATATCTTTAGGAAAAGCCATCACTGATAACATAGATAAAATATTTCGAAATCGCTTCCCATGAAAGAAAATTCAGTGCCCAACTCCCTCTTCCATTACTTGGATAAGCCGTTGTTGAGGTGTTTACTTAGAAAATACGACAGCCGGTTGTTGGCCGCAATGAGAAGTGTTGGCTGTTAGCAAGCATCATTGCCAACTTGTTATTGGTGTTATTGGTTTTGTTGTCGCTTGCATTTGTTATTGTTGTTGTTGTGGTTGTCGCTTCTATTCGAACGGAGTATTAGTTAGTGGCTAACAATTTCGAACTGCGAATGCGGTTTTGAATAGATGAACCTATGTTTGCCAACCATGAATGGTGGTGAGGATGCTGGTGCCATGGTCGTTGTCGTCGTCGTCGTCGTCGATGCAACAACGACTTGTTTATTACCTCTGCCGCCGCACCTTAGAAGTTTTGAATGGGAAAGGAGGGTTGAGGGAGGTGTAGGAAAACAACACATATTTCTTCTATTCATTTCCTTGTCTTGTAGATTCGAAAGCTTCAAAGTTTCTTTTTTTTTTTTGTGTAATGATATTCTGGAAAATCTTTTCCATCTTCTTTTTCTTCGCGTTGTTGTTGCAACCCGGTTTGGTGTGATGCTAGAATGGTTGGACACACTGCTACTCTCACCATCACCGCCGTTGTTATGGTGTGGCATTAACAATTTAATGTCGTTTGTGTTTTGGTCACTGTGACCATCTCCTCCCATGGAGTTGCCTCCTCTCCCTTCCATTTTCTCTGAGTTTTCTTCTACTTCTTTTTCTAAATATCCCCACAGATAATGCCTTGTGAAACGATGTTCAACATGTTTGGTGAGAAAATTGTTTTGATTGTAATATTGATTTTTTATTACTGCCAAAGTAGTCGTCGGTTTTCTTCTGGGTTTCTATTTTCTTTTCTGTTATTTTTTTATTGTTTTGGTATAATTTCCAAAGACTTTATTATTGTTGTTTTAACCAGCTTAGTGTTGGGTGTTGTGAGAGAGAGAAAAAAAAAATAGAAAATATTTATTTGCGGCCAACGATAATCGTTTAGTTGCAACCTCATACCTGTTGTTGTTTATTGTTTCTATTTCCTTTTGTTTCAAGTTCAAAATCATGGACAGAAGGGGCTCAAGAGGTTAAATGTAATCCATCAGATTAGGTTGAGTTTAAAGGGAAGTTCAGCTGTCTTGGAAGCAATGAGCAATTGTGAAATCACAACATTTTGAAATTACTTCAGAAGGCAAAAAAAAGAAGAAAAAAGACTTCTTGGAGGGCCAACTATATAAAGAAGTATTTTTTTTTTTTGCTGTTTTGAGTCCATAATGATACTCTGGTCAGACTTCTATTCAGAGAAGGTCTTGAGTAATCGTATATTTTAAGGAGGACTTCACATGGTCTTCTTAGATGGAAGGCCTTTAGGAGCTTTTCCATCTATAGAAGATCTTCGGAAAGCTTTCAGGAAAAAATAACGAACACGATTTCCATGAATTATTGCCATAGACCATGGAGGACAACGAATAAGACGACAGGCCCATCACTTCGACGGAGACAACAAATGGGAAATATTTGCATTATTTGGATTCGAAAATGGGAAATTTGAAGGAAAAGCTCGAAAATATCATCGGACTGATGACTGTTCTTATACGGGAGAAGGTCATAGGACCTATGACTTTTCCTATACGAGAGGTCATCAGAGCGATGACTATTCCTATACGGGAGAAGGTCATCAGAGTGATGACAACTTTTCCTATACGGGAGAAGGTCGTCGGAGCGATGACTTTTCCTATACGGAAAAAGGTCGTTGGAGCGATGATTTTTCCTATGCGGGAAAAGGTCATCGGATCGATGAAAAAGGCAAAAAGGGCTATATAAGGTTCTTAGAGGAAGACCCTCGGGAGTTTTTACATCTATAGAAGATCTTTGGAAAGCTTTCAGCCTGTTGAAATTCATCCAGAGTCCGATTATATGATAAAAATCTTTAAAAGCGTTTCCATTATCCATATGTGGACGGCTCCGGAAACTTTCTAGAGGGGGAGATTGGAAATCTTCTATCTCTGGCAGGTCTTGAAAGCTAAAAACTCCATGTAATTATACTTGGAGGTGT